GCCCCGGTGTAGTAGCGGGGGCGGCGGCCGGGGGCAGCGCGGCTCCTTCCCTTGTTGTGTGTGTCGGTGCCTCCTCGCCATCTTGTTGCAAAGCCCTTTCTTGTCGGCGGGACTCCGGGGGCCGCGGGGCGGGAGGCATCGGAAGGGAGGAAGAGGAAGAAGGAAGGAAGCAGGCAGTGCCGCCTTTTTTATTTTTTGCATCAATTTTTTTTTGATTTGCAAATTTCTATTTTGCAAATATTTGGGGAGACATTGATTTTTCTCCCTGGGCTCCCCCGTTCTTTCCTGAGCAGTGCGCCGCGCCGCCCAGCCCTGTCGCCCCCCGGAGGTGATCCCTCCCTCCTGCCGGCCCGCCAGCCTGACCTGTGCTTGGCTCGCGGGCCGCAGCCTCGGCCCCGGCGCGCCCCCGGCCGCTCTCGGCGCGATGAGCATAGAGACGCTACTGGAGGCGGCCCGCTTCCTGGAATGGCAAGCGCAGCAACAACAGAGAGCACGTGGTGAGCGGCCCGCCTGGGCCCCCGGGGCACTGGGCAGAGGGGGAGGCCAGTGACCCCGACCCCCGAAACCACTGGAGATCGCAGGCGGACCCTTCTACGGCGCGACCTAGAACGCCGGGCAGAGCACGGGCTCCCCGCAGGAGCTGCCGTCCCGGAGGGGTGATGCGAGCCGTGGAGATAATTAATGAATTCATTAACATGCAGAGAGGAACCCAGCTCCTGCGGGTGCCACCCTTGGCTGCCTGGCACCTCCAGCACACCTTCAGTGGGGTGTCCTTAGGTGTGGGTGGCGGCGCCTAGGTACCATTGAGGATGCGAGCCGAGGGCTGGGGAGAGGGATGTTGATGTGGGGTGGCGGACCCGCGTGTGCGTGCGTGTGTGCACCGAGATGTGTGATGGGAGCCGGGGAGCGGATGGACGGACGTGTACTGGTGTTTGTACAGCACACGAGTGGGCGTGTGCGTAACTGGGTGGGGGTGGGGAATACTCTACGCCGAGCTGCTCCTCGGATTCCCCGGCCCCGGTAGGAGGGTGCGGGGTGTGCTCCCGGCAGATCTACGCGCTGCTTGGGGCGGAGGCGGCCTTTGCAGAATGAAATGACATCGCTTGTCTTATGATCCTGGCCGGCCCCGCCTGACCCCGCCTCCTCGAGCTGGGCTGGGTCGCACGTCTAGGCTTGGCTGAGAGCTGCGCTGATTGGGTGCATGTGAGTGTCCCGCGGGTCGCTGGGGGCAGCCCCTCGGCCCCCCTGCCTTGCCCTGCTTTAGCCGGTGTGGAATGTGGCGTGTCTGCGCGTTTCAAACCCGCTCTTGGCTGGAATGTTGCGTGTGCCTGCGTCCCAAGCCCGTTGGTTACACGGAGTGGTGACGTAGGCAGGCCCCGCCCCCGACCACGTGCACGGGGGACACTCCCGCTGGGGACTGCGCGGCCCAGCCCTCCTCGCCTGGCGCTCGCCCGGGGGCGGGGCCTGGGCGGGGCTGGCGAGGGGCCTCGAGTCGGGTTGGGCTCCAGCTCTGGTTGCTGGCCATCTCCCCGGGAGAGCCTTTGCCCTGGGAAGGAGGAGCTCCCCTCACCTCGGCCCTCGTCGATCCTCCTGTTTTTGATCCTGTAGCGAGGGAAACCCTCCGTCTCGGGGTGACACTACAACTAACATCTCAGTCATCCACCGCCAGTGTCCCTACGACCCTCTAGCAGTGCCCCGGCCACAATGGAATAAGCCAGCATGAGAAGGGCAAACTTTGGCGCGCCCTCAGGGAGGGTGGGCGAGGGCTTATGATCCTGCCCCCCACCCTTTGGCGGTGGTCCCTAGCCTTCGAGTGCTGCTGAGATAGGGGCCGAAGGGAAAAGACCCGCTTTCCTGAGGCCTCGGTCCTGAATTGATGTGTGCACTTCCCAGGGATTCCTGGTCCCCCTACCCCCCTAGTCGGCAGTGTTGTGGAGAGAGTGCTTCGCCCTCCTTCCCTTTTTTTCTGCCTATTGTTGCTTCAATGATGAGTCATGCAGGAGGTAGTAGTGTGTGTGTGTGTGTGAGTGTGTATGTTGTGTGTGTGCCCGCGCACAAAGGCGCGCGCGCGCCTGCAGCTTGTGCTGCGCGGTGGGGCGGGAGGAGTGGTAGCCGGCAAGGGGCGGAGGAGCTGCAGGTCCGCAGGCCTAGTCAGGCCGACCAGCCTCTCAAGGTCAGGAGGCACCGGAGATGTGCAAGACCCAAGTGCTTATGTTTTTGCCCAGTAGATGGTCTGGGGTATCCACCCACATGCCCCTCCCCTTTGTGTTTCAGGTCTAGAGCAGGGTCAAGCGATGGACAATGCTAGTGGTTAACCAGAATGGCAAGTGTGTGGTTTCTGCGTCGGATGTGGGGAGGGGGAGAATCCTCCCGACGAGTTCGGAGAGTCATCGGCTGCTACCGTCAATATAATGCAGTTCAGGAGTACTAGTTCTATCCCTACTGTGTGTGTACCAGGCAGTGTGCAAGAGGTAAACTCTTTCTTCACGTTTACCTTCCTAGCCACATGAACCCCCTACAGCCACGCTTTCACCTTTGCCCAGAGCTGACCAGTAAGGTGGTGGGGGCTAGCGGGCACAGCTCTGCAAAGGAACCTGGGAAAAGCCCCCTTGAGAAATTGTATAGCCCTTTCCCAAACATTGAGTGCTGGGGAGAAGCAGAGTTCAGCTCACAGGTCGCAGCTGCTTGGTGTTGGATCAAAGAGTCCTGGAAAGCCAAACTGACTCCCAGAGCTCAAGTACAGAGATGGCCCGACCTGGTTCCCACAGGTTAAAACCTCCACAGTTGACACCAACCTGCTGGCTAGAACTACCCATACTCGGAGATGTTTAACCTCAGATAACCAACTCTGAGCAGGGAATCTCTTGTCCTTTCTGTTTCCACTACAAGGTCAACACTGGCGTAGACCACTTTGCCCACAGGACAGATCGGAGAGTCTGATGCACATGGGAGCAAGTGTGAGAGAGGAGAGGGAAGGGCAAGGCCATTGCCTAGGGGAGGGCTCAGCCTGGCATTGGCCAGCATCCGTGGAGACGACTTGGCCTCTCTTCTCCTTTGGTTGGAGGGAGCTTGCTGTCGTGTGCGGAGCTGCCTGGCCTCTGTCCTGCCCTGGGCCTGCCTCATGTGCCAAGCTCTGGCAGCAGAGAGGAGAATCCCTGTACACACAGGGCTGTGGTAGCTTAGGAAGGTTGCAGGAAGCCAGTGCTCTCTCAGCCCAGAAGGTCTTGCTACCTTCACTGGGGACGGTATCTGTGGAGCCCGGAGAAGGTGTGCGCGTGTGTGTGAGGGAGAGGAGTACAGCCATGCGTCAGAAACGTTGTTTAAAATGGCCTGAACACACAGTCTGCCTAGAGGAGGCCCCAGCAGCACTAGTGGGCTTTGCCCTCGGTGCACCCAGGGGACCCTGTGGGTGGCAAATGAGGCGGAGCTAGGGGCGGAAAGCTTTGGTGGACGGGCACAGTCATGGTGCAGCTTCTGTTGTCCAGCAGGGTTGATAATGCTGGGCTGGGTGTGGTGGAGCCTCATTTGGTGAGTCCTTCCCATCTAGGAAGCATGGCTTTTTGGAGAGCTTTAAAATACAGGCTTTACTTCAGCCCAGTACCTGGCTGTGGGGACCCCTGCCTGGGGAGCCAAGTGCTTGTTCTCCAGCCAGGGAGATGGCTGCACCAGTAAAACTCTCAGAGAATGGCCAGCTACCTGAGTTCCATCCCAGGAACCCACGGTGGGAAAAGAGGAACAGCTTCTGAAGGGGGCCCCCTCCCGAAGTCGGAAAATAGTGGCTTAAAACATAAACTAGACCACTCAAAGGGGCTGTGTCCAGCCTCTGTTGAAAGTGTGCTGTCCAGAGCTGTCCCAGGCCCAGCTGCAGAAAGGCTCTGAAGCCTGACAGGCTTCTTGGCTTGTGTGGCCTGTGGGAAGCTGGAGCACAGGACTGGTTTTCTCAGGGGCTGTAACCTAGGTCACTGCTGACAGGGAGGGCAAGGCCCCCTTATTGGTGCAAGCCTGCCCTCCCCTTCCTGAAGGGCAGGAGAGGTGGGAAGAGGCCTGAAGATGTGGCCCTGAACTCTGCCTGCTGGGAAACATTTTATGATCCCTTCCCAACACTTCCCCTCTACTTCCTCCTCAGCTCCTTCCTTGCCTTGTGTGGCTGGAGATGGGCCTGCTTCTCTCAAAGCCTTGCCTTCCCAAAAGGCCATGGGGTCTTGGAGCTGAGAAGACCTGAGGGGGACTAGGCCCCTCCTTTCAACAGAGGACTTAGCCCTGGCCCCGCATCACATGGCCTGTTTGGGGTGTGTCTCCAGGCAGAAAGGCCTGGGCCCCTTCCCTTACCTGGGGATGGTGATCTGGCCTGTACAAAAGCCATAGCCAGGGAACCTAACGGAGCCTAAGAGAAGACTGGTTCCTAGGTAGGGCTTCAGCCCGTTCTCAGCCAGCTCTTGAATAGGTCTGACTTTTCTGCTGGGCTTCCAGTAGAGATGCAGATGGGCATGATCTCAAAGTTGCCTGAGCCCAGTGGCCCTTTCCAACCTCTGCTGCCTCTACCTAGCTGGTCTTCCTTTCTGCCTGCCTCCTGCTTTTCCAAATCCTGCTCTCCTGCTGTAGACAGTACTGTAGGAGGGACACAGACAACAGCCTGAGAGAAATGGGTCCTCACAGGTTGGAAGAAAGGACAACCTATGTTCATTGCTCTGAGGAAAATTGAGGCCTCCGACTTAGCCTGGGAGCAGGAGTCCTGGGCCATTTTCTCATGAAGTAAATGTGTTTGCTCCCTCACTGGGGCTCTTGTGAGGAGATACGGATGTGAGAAGGCACCTCGTGAGCTTTACACGGACAAGGGCAGGGCATTTGGCTAGGGGTCAGACTTGCAGTATAACTCAACAAATCATTTTGTCTCTCTGCTCATTGTGAAACAAAGGTACTGCCCGATCCTCAGCAGGTGCGTGGTAAATTCTGTGGAAGGCCTCTCTGGGCTCCTGTGGTGATCCGGCTTATTGCCATCTCTCAGACTTCATCTGTGTCCCTCCCTCTGGGTACTCCTGTTGGTCAGCTGTCTCCATCCAGCTATAGGTCACCCAGCCTGCAACATCCCACTCCTCACTGCTCCTGCTTATTTTTTTATGAGCCCCGTCTTTGCCCTAACCCAGCCTGGCACCTTTTTTTTTTTTTTTTTCCCCGTCTCAACCCTGCCCCAGGCTGTGAGGTTCTCAGTGAGGAAGCAGGCTTGTGCTTTGTCTGTTCAGTGTTGTCATGGCTGAACATGCTTGGCTGTCTCTGGTGTCTCGGGCTGGGCAGAATGTCACTGTGCCTTGACTGGGACAAAGTTAGGGTTAAATGGGGCCCAGGCCCTGGCTCTGCTAAGACCCCTGCGTGTTCTTTCTGTGTAGAGGAACAGGAGCGTCTTCGCCTGGAGCGGGAACGGGAGAGAGAGCAGGAACAGAAGAGGGCAAGTAGCTTGGCCAGGTTGGCCCATGCCCTCCCTGTGGAGGAACCCCGCAACGAGGCTCCACCGCTACCATTGTCACCGCCGGCACCGCCACCCGCACCACCACCACCACTTGCTACCCCTACTCCACTGACCGTCATTCCTATTCCTGTAGTGACCAACTCCCCGCAGTCTCTACCCCCGCCTCCGCCACTGCCCCCCGCAGCCCAGCCTCTGCCCCTGGCACCTCGCCAGCCAGCCTTGGTCAGCCCGGGACTCAGCATCAAGGAGCCGGTTCCCCTGCCCACCAGAGCGCAGGTGCCCACCCCCGCCCCCTTACTGCCGGATCCGAAGACCACAGTTGCACCCACCGGCAGCCCCAAGCCCCTGCAGCCCCTCCCTACCCCCATCCTGACCATTGCGCCACACCCTGGAGTCCAGCCTCAGCTGGCTCCCCAGCAGCCACCCCCGCCCACGCTTGGGACCCTCAAGTTGGCTCCAGTTGAAGAGGCCAAATCCAGCGAACAAAAGAAGAGGCCTGGGGGGTGAGTGGGGCCATGGGCAGAGGGGCCGGTGGGATGGGAGACAGCTGTCCATCCTGGGCTGGAGAGCGCAAGAGAAGGTACCCTGGCCAGTTAGCCACTTTGGGAATGCCCAGTGCCACTTAGGGTACGTCTCATAGTAAAGCATGTTCTGATGACTGCGGCTCTTAGCTTTCTGAGTTGTCGGACCGCAGCAACGCTGGGAGTACAGCAGTACTTCCCGGCCTTAAAGGACTGGATTCCAGAACCCCTCCAGGACCCGTCTCTCTTAATTGGAACAGTGGAATGGAGGGTTCTGGGGAGTGGGTTAGGAGCACGGAGGTACCCTCCGTGGGGAAGATGGGCTCAACACAGGGCCAACACTTCCAGTCTACAGACAGTGTTGGGGTCAGTGGCGGTATGGGTGGTGTGGGTCTGGAAGGCGGGATGCGGGCCTTCCTCCCTGAGCCTCCTGTCTGCGTTTTCAGGATTGGAACCAGAGAAGTCCACAACAAATTGGAAAAGAACAGGTGTGTGCGCACTGGCCCGCGTGACCCTGGGCCCGCCCCTCCTGGTTCCCCCGAAGCTTCCCTTGGGTTGCCCTGCCTCCCGCGCCCTCGGGCGCTGACTGACCAGCGCTCACCCCTTTCCCCAGGAGGGCCCATCTGAAGGAATGTTTTGAGACCCTGAAGCGCAACATCCCCAACGTGGACGACAAGAAGACTTCAAATCTGAGTGTGCTGCGGACAGCGCTGCGGTACATCCAGGTATGGGAGGGAGGGAGGGAGGGAGGGAGGGAGGGAGGGAGGGAGGGCGGGCGGGGCGGGGCCGTGCCGGCGGCCGCTTCCTCCTGCTGCCGGCAGGCTCCCCCGCCCGCCTCCACGCGGGCGCTGAGCACATGGCCTGGGTGACGTCAGCGGGGCCCCCGGCCCGGGGGGGGGCGGGCGGGCGGGCGGGAGGGCGCCTGCGCGAGGGCCGGCGCTGCACTCTTGGGCCTTCCCCTCCCCCATGTGGCGTGTCTGCTCGGCCCTGGGGTGACAAGGGCGCGAAGCGCGCCCACCACCTCCCTAGCCGCAGTACCCCGGCGAGATCCGGACTCGGGTCAAGGGCGGTCACTAGTGGGGAAAGGAGTCGGGAGGAACGGGGTGTCTGCGTTCACCTGGCAGTGCTCAGGATTACGGGCGGGGTGGGGCGCTGAGGCAGGCGGGTGACAGCGCGAGGCCACTGAGCCTTAACTGTTTCCTTTCCGTGAGTGCTGGGAAGGGGTCCCCGCCGGTGGGGTCTCCTCTCCCTGGACCCAGGCTGCCCTCTGCAGCAGTGCGAGGTTGCTGTTGCCCTGGAAACCGCGCGCAGGGTTCCGCGTGCCCGGGAGGCGTTGGGGGGGATGGGCGCGGCCGGGTTTGGCAGCGCGGGAGACCAAACCGTTGGGGAGTGGGAGGGACCTAGAGCTCCAAGTCGCGCTCGCGCGTGGGGGCAGGGCGAGGGGGTTTCCGTCCGCCCACGCGGGGCGCTCGCGGGAGCGCCGCTGCATCCCAGCTTCCGTGGGAGGGGTGCCCGCACTCCAGCAGGGCTTCGCCAGCTGGGTCACAACCCGGAGATGACCGGCCCGGCCCGCCCTCCGCGCCGCCTCCCGAGCTTCCCGGCAGCTGGGGGCGGGGCCGGCCGCCCGCGGTGACGCAGCGGACAGGTCCGCGTGGGTACGCGCGTGCTCCGAAAGGGCGGGGCCTCGCTTGGACCAAGGGGCTCCTCTGAGGCTGTGCAATGTCCTGTAGCTTATTTCCGTGATTTTACTGACTGTAGGCTTGGGCGTGATTCAGTTTTACCCGTGCAGCCTCCTAGCAGACCTCTGCCTTTATGCTGTAACATTTACTTTGAACATCAGTTTTCTCATTTGACGATGCTAAGGAGAAAAGATAGTACTATAGAGACGATAGAAGAATTGAAAAATATTTAAAAAATTGTGGTCTCTAAACATTAATAGGAGTAGTGACTTCGAAGTAGGAGCTGGAGCAAGGCAAGTACCTTTTTATGGATGTGCACTTGGGAAAAGAGCCTTGCATAAGGTGTGGATTTGAAAATAGCTCCGCTGCAGTAGAACCAGCGGAAGGAAACTCCCTGGATCATTCCTGATCTGACAAGGAAGTAGGAGGAGCCACAAGCTATTGCTTGCTTTGTCGTGGAAGCAGAAACAAGTCACAAGATTGTGGAAACCCTCTGTGGCATTAAGTGTTTTTAGTCATGAGCTGGGTCTGCTTCTGAGGACCAGAGACCAAAGAAAAAGGGATGAGATGAGGTCCTGCAGCAGATCTTAAAAGCCTTGAAGGGTGACGGAATCTCTTTGGGGGTGTTAGGGAAGGACATTTGCAGGATACTTCTAGGTGAGCTAGGCAAACTGGAGAACAGAATGTTTGTTTCTTGAGCAGGAGAGAGGAGGGTGCTTGGATGTAAAAGATGGAAGGGTGGCTTAGGTGATCTTTGAAAGTTGATCTTGGAGAGAGTAGTAGGGCTCTGAGGACCTGGGGCTTCGGTTGTATGTCCAGAAGAGAAGGGCTATGGTAGGCCTGTTGTGGTGCCACCTGCCTTTAGTCTCAGCACTCTGACGGAGAGGCAGGTGGGCCAGAATTCTGGGCCAGCTAGGCTTGCATAGTAAGTCCTTGTCGTGTAAGGGCAAGGGATGTTCTAGGAGGGTGTTGAGGCCCCAGTGCTCCCCAGAGGTCATGGAGGACTTGAAGAAAGCCACAGAGACGAGAAGAACAGACGTGGATCTAGATTGACACCCAAAAATAAATGGGTTTAAATAAAGCCTCTTGAGTAGGGAGCTTTAACTCAGAAGAGTATTTGCCTAGCATTCCTGAGGCCTAGCACCACTAGAGAAACACAGGTCAAGTGGTATGGACTAACCTTTGGCACTAGGGAAACCACCAGGCTCCCTAGGCCTGTGAGCCTAACTGTGAAAAGAGGGGGTTCTGGTACCTGGCACTTACTCTCCCTGACTCAAAGTACAGCCTCTCTGTAAGCAGCCGATAGCGCTCAGGGTGGCACTTCCAACCGAGAGAGGTTCAAGTGAGGGCCGAGTCACGAAGGGCCTGTGGCTGACGGGCCCTCTGATATCATATGCAGCCCTCAGGGACAGAGCCAGGTGAGATGACACACAGGTGAGGTGTGTAGGGGAAGACAAGGTCTTCCTAGCAGAATATGGAGAGAAGCAGGTTAAAGTCAGAATGGTGGAGGGGGGGCTGTGTATGGAACTAATGACAGGTATGTCAAGGTCAGCCTGGCATAGCTCTGGGCCTTGTGTTGTGGGCATTGACAGTTTGAAGCTCTTGCTCACTGTATTAGGGACGCCCAGAGCTTGGGGCGGCTGGAGGAGTGTGGAGAAGTGGGGTCTAGTGGGGTGGGGTTGGATGCTCTGCTGTATTTTGTCAGGAGAAGCTGCTGAGCTGTGGCAAGAATGTGGAAGCATGGGAGACGGAGTCTGCTGGGTTCCCCGTGATGAGGGGAAGCTGGAGGGTGGAAGTCCGACACCCTCACCCAATAGCAGGGTGGCAGGCTCCCCGATCCTCTGGGGCCTGAGTAAGCACACTGCTGGCCACTGATAGGGTCCAGGGCATAAACAGACTGTAGGATAGCCTTTACAGTCCCTTACAGGTCTGACAGGGCTCGTGTGTGCTGAAATAGTTACTCTGGTCACGGGAGCCAGGGTGATAGAGACCCTCACGCAGTTAGTGCTCACATACATAGGAGGGGCACTGGGAAGGGCTGGGGCGGGAGGGTGTGGTGACGGGGGATTCAGGTGTGGTCTAGGAGTAGAAAGAGCAGGGTGAGATAGCTCTGAGGGCAGAGGAGCCAAGGCGTGTCAGCGGGGTGTGCATTGGAAAAGTTGTCCTGTGACTTCCACTGTAGTAAGTGTCAGTAGTCAGTGTCACTGAGAAAGAGAGCACCGCTCCCCGAAGGGATGAGGGCAGCGTATCCATGTGTGAACAGCAAAGCAGGCCGGGTTCAGAGACAAGGTAGTGGCAGTCCATGCTCTTTGCGCCTGCAGGAGACCCAGTGCTCTGGAAGTTAGGTGTTCAGAAGCTGGTCGAGAAATGGACTTGAGTCAGCAAAGGTAGCAGCTCCTTGACTGATGGACATGGCAGGGCTGATGTATCTAGGCCTAGGCTAAAGTGTCGGGGTCTGGAGGTCACGGAGGCACTTTATTACAGAAGGCAGCTGAAAACTGGGGCATGAGCTGGCCTTTGACGCTGCTCCGAAGCATGTGCAGAGGGAACGTAGGGGTGTTTCTGACTGGGGCTGGGAGGAGTCTGAAGAGGCGGGCGCTGTGGGTAAGGAGGGCCTTCCTGTGTTCTGCGGGAGGCAGGGGTGGCTTTGGTGAGGAAGCTGGTCTGGACTTTGTGGTGAGAAGTCTCTAGGGTATGCAGTCAGGTCTGGAGGGCTCCAGTGCCCCAAAGTCCTTTGTTGTTGGCCAGTGCGGCACACCGCCGGTTTTTCAGGTTCACTGTCCTGTGAGGTCTGGAGGGTTGTGGGCTCCCCTGAGTGGGGAGCAGTGGATGGATTGCAAGCTGGGGAGGAAGCACAGTGGGCTAAGGTGCAGCTGAGTCCAGGGGCAGGACAGGCCGCTGCTGCTGCCACGACAATAGACTCCTGTGATGGGCACAGCGCTGTCACAGGGTGGAGCAAGTACCCCTCCAAGGACAAAGGTGCCAAGGAGACACATGTGGTGGAAAGTGCAGGTTTTTTGTGGGAGTTGGGTACAAGGAGGGCGCTGTGGATTGAGTAACTAAACAGAGTAAGGTCAGTAGCTGTGAGGGAGTGAGATGGCTTGAGGGACTGCAAAGCCCCTAAGGACCCAGTCAGGGTAGTGTGGGGAAAGGCGCCAGATTTGGACCTGTCCTAGCTTCTTTTCTGAGGGGGCAGATTTTGACAGAGTTTCCCTGTATAGCCCTGGCTCTCCTGGGCTCTGTAGCCCAGGCTGGTCTCGCATACGCAGAGATCTGCCCACCTCTGCCTCCAGAGCGCTGGATTAAAGGTGTGCGCCACTACTGCCCAGCTCTGTGCTAACTTTTGGTGGTGCCTACTTCGGCACCCACAGTGACCCAGATGCTGGCTGGCCCTTACTGGGCAGAGTGATGGGATAGGAGGTGGGTGTGGCCTCCAGTCACTCTGCTCACTGTACGTTGTCCAGAGCAGTGGACAACCTTCTCCATCCCGATGCACCCTGTGTATAAATATTTACATTACAGTTAGTAACAGTAGCAAAATGACAGTTATGAAGTAACAGCGAGATAATTTTATGTTTGGGGGTCACCACATGAGGAGCTGTGTTAAAGGGCCGCAGCATAGGAAGGTGGAGAATTACTGGCCCGGAGGTTTTGAGGGCCATGGAGCCTGCGGTTGCTGCTAAGGACACCCTGCTGTCCCTTGCCCTGTCCCCAGTCCCTGAAGAGGAAGGAAAAGGAGTATGAACATGAGATGGAGCGGCTTGCACGGGAGAAGATTGCCACTCAGCAGCGGCTGGCGGAGCTCAAGCATGAGCTGAGCCAGTGGATGGATGTGTTGGAGATTGACCGTGTGCTCCGGCAGACGGGCCAGCCTGAGGATGATCAGGCCTCCACCTCCACAGCCTCTGGTGAGCCTGGGCCCTGGGCTGGTCCTCCCACTCTCGGGTGCTCTCCTTCCTCCAGTAGGTTTCCCTGCTAGAATAGCGGCCGTTTGTTCTGCCTCCGCCCTACCCCAGAGCCCCAAGCTCACCTACGCCACTTGGGTCCCAAGCTCTTTTGACCTGCTCCCTGCCTTGCGTTCCCCAACAGAGGGCGAGGACAACATAGACGAGGACATGGAGGAAGACCGGGCAGGCCTGGGCCCCCCTAAGCTGAACCATCGTCCCCAGCCGGAGCTGCTGAAATCCACCCTGCCAGCCCCCAGCACCACCTCTGCGCCTCTGCCTTCCCATCCGCACCCCCACCCCGTGGCCCTGTCCCCTGCCCACCTCCCTGTGCAGCAGCAGCAGCAACAGCAGCAGCAGCAGCAACAGCAGCAGCAGCAGCAGCAGCAGCCACCACAGCAAAAGGCTCCTCTGCCAGCTCCCCCTCCCCCACCCGCCACCCCAGCCCAGACGCTGGTGCCAGCTCCAGCCCATCTGGTGGCCACGGCCGGGGGTGGCTCCACGGTCATTGCCCACACAGCCACCACCCACGCCTCAGTCATCCAGACTGTGAACCATGTTCTGCAGGGCCCCGGGGGCAAGCACATGGCCCACATTGCCCCCTCCACCCCCAGCCCTGCTGTGCAGCTGGCACCCGCCACACCTCCCATTGGCCACATCACAGTGCACCCTGCCACCCTCAACCATGTGGCCCACCTTGGCTCCCAGCTGCCCTTGTACCCACAGCCTGTGGCGGTGAGCCAGCCTGTGGCAGTGAGCCACATTGCCCACACCCTTTCACACCAGCAAGTGAATGGCACAGCCGGGCTGGGGCCCCCAGCCACTGTCATGGCAAAGCCAGCTGTGGGCGCCCAGGTGGTGCATCACCCCCAGCTGGTGGGCCAGACAGTGCTCAACCCTGTGACTATGGTCACCATGCCCTCCTTTCCAGTCAGCACACTCAAGCTGGCTTGAGGATGAGGCCACTTAGGCCCCCAGTGGGGGCAGGGAAGGGGACCTGACTGCCCCTCTCCCACCCACCAGCTCCACACATTCCAGCCAGGCCCAGGCCCAGGCCCGCCCCACTCACACCACCCCCAGGCCTCCTAGGGGAAGGGGGTGCAGAGACTCTGAGCCAGGGGAGGGGAGAGGAGGGGAGGGGAAAGCTCCTCCCCGCCCCCAAGCAGTTGGGTGCAGGCAGGAAGTTATCCTGCTGCACTAGGACTTGGTAGACATGAGATGCTTTGGCGGACATTCTTGCCTACCCAGTCTGGTGCCAGCTCTTGGTGCCACTCCTGTCTCCCTACCTTGTTCCCCCAGGAAGTCTACGCTGTGGCTTATGTTCTCTGGCCTTTCCTTCCCCGGCCTGCCTTCCTGTGCTGTTGCTGCTATTGCTCTGTCTGGTGAGGTGGCTGAGCTCCCCAGCCTCAGAGTCCTGTGGGACCTCTGTGTCAGAAACAGGGAGCCCCAGAAAGGTGGGAAATGGGTGGTGAAGGGCCCAGCTCTGAGTACAGGTTACAGGTCCTATGATCTGGAGTCAGGCTAGGGTGAGTGAATGCTTGGGCCTGGCAGTCTCTGACCCACCTGTAGTCACTGCGACAGGTTACAGAAGAAACTGTTTAGAATGAGTCTCAACCAACAATAAGATCCAGGCTGGTGCCAAGTCCCCCACACCTGTCCTTGGGCTTCTGGCCCCAAAGAGCAGGCTGAGCTTAGGGCGGGGGAGGCGGGGCCTAAGTCCTGCTCCTACCCTAGTTCCTCCGGGTTTGGAGGAGCTTCTTCCTTGGCTTTGACCCCACTTCCTGGTTCCTTGCTCTGCAGTGTATCCCAGACCCTTGGGGTTAGGTGCTTCCTGCAGCTTGGGGGCACGGCCAGCAACGGCTCTGGGAGCAAAGCTGAAATCCCGGGCCTTTTCCATCTCCCCCCACCACCTCAGTGGCAATTTTGAGACCCCTTCTTGGTGGCTGCTGCAGTGTCCACCATGGAAAGGGCCTTTGCTGGGCGAAAACAAGGCTCAGCTTGTGTTTGGGAAGAGCGAGAGTCCCGTGCTTTCCTGCCTCTGCTTTTGCAGACCGCTTTGGCTTCTCTTTTTACGTGGATATTTATTACAAGTGGCCTTGTGTCAGACACTCAGTTACGCGTGTGCATATTCAGCTCCCACTGGACACTCACCATTGGCCTTTCAGTGTGGGTCAGGAAGCAAGTGTCCCTAAGATATAAAGTTTGGGGGCTAAGGCAGTCGAGGGGCCAGAAGGGAGGGCTCAGGGTCCTTAAGATGACGTGAGCAAGGCACTGAGGCCAGCGAAGGTCTTGAATACATTTTCCCTTGAAGACTCCTCAGATGCCTCAGAGCCCAGGTCCTTCTGGCCCTAGGAGTACCCCAGGGCACTTTATTATTGTCTCCTGGGGTGGGGAATGGTGGCTAGGACCAGGTCTCCACCCTGTCGCAGAAATCCCAACCCACAAGGTGGCTGCAGCCACCTCTACCACACCCTGACTCTGGGGCCGCCTCCACTCTGCTCTGTGTTGTGACAGAGCAGAGTCTGGTGCTGGCACGGTCAGCCCACTTGTCCCATTTCCCCCTGTGTCTTGAGGCCAGTTCCAGAGTTCACACCATTGTGTTGGCCCCAGGCCCGCACAGATACCTCATCATCTATCCGCCCCTCCCACCCCAACAGGGGTTCCTCCAGATCTAGTGCCGAAAGACTATGTCCAGATTGGTGATGATGGGTGTTGTTGCTGTTTTTGTTGTTTGTGACTGCTGTGTGCCCAAATGGGCAGCCACCTCCCAGCCCCTTCTTGGGCATCTCCCCCTTGAGAGCTGTTAGGACCACATCTGTCCTCACCCTGTGGGACCGCCTGGCCCTTCCCTTCCTATCCCTTCCCGCCTGGGACACACACACACACACACACACCTTACCTCTCATGCGTGTTTTACCTGTGCTGTTTGGAGTGGCTCACTGCCTGGGATCTTTACCTCGGGGAGGAAGAGTGGGGAGAGTGGTTCCCTGGGGGCCAAAGAAGGGCAGGGGATGCCTGGAGGGTAGTTGGGCCACCATAGTTTCTCTCTAGGAAGAGCTGCTTCTCCCCCCCCCATCCCAGGGTCCCACTCCCAATCCCCAAAGAGGTGGCCCTTGTTTACAGTGAGGACTCGGTCACTGTGTCTGTTTCCTGAAATATGAATTGTAGCGACCCCAGACTGTAGAGATTTTTATGTGTTTGGGTACATCTGCTGTGTGGGAAAAAAAAAAAGTACAAAAACCCTAATTTTGTACATATTGTATTTTTACTATTGAACTGTATTCTAGTGGCTGTTCATGCTCTAAGACTTTAGGTGTTGAGACATGAATACTATCCATGTAATAAGCACTTGCCTGGAATAAAATATAAAACTGAAATAAATCTGCACTGAAACCTGAGACGGAGCCGCCAGCCTCAGCATCTGGGTCATTTCATTGCAAGAAGCAGAGGCCCAAAGGGGCCAATCAGCTAGAAGCTGCAGGAGGAGGCCAATGCAGGAGGATGAAGAAAGTTGGGTGATGGCCTGAGTTACAGAACTAAAGCCCTGGTACAGGGGTTCCAGAGGTTAGTCGTGAGCCAAAATGGCAGCTCACGACTAACTCCACTTCCAGGGTTCCCACACCCTTTTCTGGCTTCTGGGGCAACATGCCGGCAAAACCCCATACACATCTTGGGAAGACAAGCTGGTTAAATAGTGGCGGCACACACCGTCAGTCCCAGCACTCGGGGGGAAGCAGGCAGATCCCTGAGTTTGAGGCCAGCAAAGTGAGTGCAGGACAGCCACGGGTACATGG